GCGAAAGATGAGGTTCACAAGAAGTGCTGCAGTGCTGAAGAAATTTGGGCCTCCTGAGGCAGTGCAAACTGCTAAACTCTGTGAAAAAATGGACGCCTTTTTTTATTGTCTCAACGTGCGCAGCACTACGGAGCATCAAAGGAAGCGTAAGCCATTCCTTGCACCATACAGATCTGGTAATGACGAGAGGTATGTCTGATGTCATATCTAATGATATTGTACCCTGCCATACATTTTTTCATTGTATCATTTCGGAGACTTAATAAAAGTATTGCACTAATCCCCCTTCGGATGAGCATTTATTAATTCACATTAGCTACATGGTGTACACGTATTACTATTACAACAAAATAATGTGAGGAGAAAATATGACTTGGTCACTTTTAAAACTTGCATTAACATAGAGTGTTAAAGTGAGAGAAAAAAAATGCCACAGAGGGCTATAGGTATAAGTCAGGCTTTTTAAACAGATTTCAACAGAAGCAGTTTACTCACCCTTTAGATTATTCCTAAAATTAATACTATTACAGTGAGGACACTAACCATGAACATTTGACTTTTTTTGCACATATTTCTTGTTTGATTATCCAATGAGCCTCTTCATTCAGACAAATGTATTGATGTTTTTAGTGGTTAAGAAACAATTATCCTTGTGGTAGATTTAAGGTGTGCTGATTGGATAATCATAAAAAGTGTAATCTGTTATTGTTAATCGATTTGGCTTAGTCTGCTTCTAGTGTTAAAAAATAATGAAAATAAACTGGTGTAGCAAGCAGTTTTGGTTCATAATTGACTTAACAAGCCTACTAAGTAAATATTTGTGACAGGGAAAATTGCTTGTCATACCCAGTTGCAAAAGGCGTAAATTGGCCCCTTTTTAGCGGGAGCGTCCTTTAGTAAAACTTGTAAGAAACTTTCATCACTATTCTTTTTTTAATGCTAGGTTCCAGTTCCTCATCAACTTCCTGGAGTATCTAAGGCTGTGGAAAGAAAGTACCGAGACCAGACCAGGGAACTTTACCCAGAACGCAAGAAACCGTATGTTCGTGTCCTGGCAGACACACGAGGGCATCAAGATGACGGCTCATTCAGCTATTGAGGCCACCAAGTTTCTTCTCCTGGAAGGTACAGAGTTCGTGCTCACTGAACGGTTTTGTCAAGACCCACTGGAAGAATACTTTGGCAATCAGCGTAAACTCAGGAGGCGTAGTGACAATCCTGACATCCATGCATTTGGGTACAATGCCAACATCCTCAGAATTCAGAGAACAGTCTCCTGTCAAAGTGGAAACACCCGAGGCCGGAAAGGCAAACGCAGAGCATGGGAACAAATCACTGATGAGCCCTTGCCATGCTGGAAAAAACCAAAACTTTGACTGTGCTTCAACCTTTGAGTTACTTTAGTTGTAGTATTGGCATTTGATTGCAAAACAAACTCCTTCATACAAAAAGGGGCAATTGACAGACCTATATTAAATATTTCAATTAGCAATGAATGTGGACCATAAATAGCATTTCTTGTGAAGTTTTATGATCATCGCAGGCATAGAAAAATTTTACATTTTTTTTCTTAAGCAAAGAAGGGCAAAACCAACCTGTGAAACATCCAGCAAAATGAAACAGCCGTTTGGGTTGAAAATTACAATGAAGTTATTAATATTGCTTAAATTATCAACTGATATGTACAATAACCTGATATATCATCATGAAAATAACAGTAAACATTCCTCATGAATTATTCTAGTTTTGCCTCTCTTGAGTTTGCTGGTCACAACTTCTTTGGATTTCTTTCCAAAGAGCCTTGCTTTTAGCTTGCTTTGCTTTAATTTTGAAGTCTTGTATAATATCCTTGGCTAAAGAGAATGAGCGAACCCTGATGTACAAATTTACAATACTGTACAGGACATCTTTACTGACATTTTTAGTGGGAACTAGTTCAGCATTTGAGACCATGGTTTGGTAGTTTGCAACCACATCATTATCTGTTAATGACTTCTGAGCTATCCCAGTTATGTCCACAATTTGCATACTACTGGCAGATTTTAAAGTTGACTGTCTGAAATAATGTTCAGACCTGGTAAAGATCTTTTGCGCAGGCTCTGTTATGGACCAGAGACCACCGCGGCTCAGTGTGGAAACCAGCTTTTGGGAATCACAGCCCTCCTCCAATTTTCCAGCCTTGAGTATAGCCATTGCCTGCTGACTTTCACTTGAAGACATTTTTGCACACTTTTTGTGAAGATTGTGCAATACGTATCCTCCCAAATACTGCAACCCGGCTGTCTCTTTGTCTGATAAGACTGTTTTAGATGGAAGGACGCTGTTGTCAGGAGATGACTTTGTATGCTTGCCATGTGCTACCATGTTGTTGGCCACTTTAATTGCTAGCAATGTAGCTGCATTTCTGGATAACCCTCTGAAAAAGGTTGTAGATTTCAAAGGAACCTGAGAATAATATTTTCCATAAAACTTTTCAGTGTCTCCATTTTTCAAGTATCCATCATACAGTGTTTTAAATGTCAAGTTTGAGTCTTTCTTTAAATCTGATGGCCCTCAAAACAAAAATAAATGGTCCAGTTCATTTTATGGGGCAATAGTAGTAAAAATATCTCTTCCAAGGTGGTGCCCTTATTTTGAAGCCATGCTTTGATTAAACATTTAACACAGGAAATAGTATCATGGCTATCATTGATGCTATGATAGTGGAAACTGGAAACAAGTCCTTGGAAATCTAGAGGGGAAACCTGAGACATAGTTGGGTATTTCACTCGTTGACGTGGTTAAAGGGATGAATCCAGGAAGGTAAAACTGTTGCTTAAGGGATAGGGATTTAATATTACTGATTAAATAAAACTGAAACTCAATTATAGTACCTTGTAAAACTACATATATGCCCATTTTCTGTAAAATCATGATTGTTTAATTCCTATGTATGGTTTTGTGTTTGGGCAGTCTCAAGTCTAAAGGCCATAATGGTTCATGGTTAGGTGTGAGACAATTTGCAGACAAATTAAAGGTGAATTTACTTAGTTTGTGCTTAATGGCATTAATCCTAAAGTGTTCTCATTTTTCTTTTGTGCATTGGAATACAATTGAAGTCTTCATGTATTGATGCTTCTGGTAATAAATTTGAATTATTTTTCTTCTTTTCTTGTTTTTAAAGAAATGGGAACCAGTGGAGAAGGGACCAAATTTCAGTGCAAGGTCTGACCAATGTTCTTGCAATTTTTACTGATATTGCCAATTTATGGGTCAAATTCCCCCTTTTCCTAAGTTTCTGGAAATAGTTTTAACAATGTTTTGTTTACTTTTAATTCAAAGCTTGTAGGGATAACAGATGTCGCTAGCCCAGAGGGTATGGATATGTGTGCAGAGGCTTTTGGGAAATTAAAGGTGCAGTGTATCTGTTCATAAGTCAAGTTGATTCATGAACTTGAATCAAAGCTCAAATTTATTTTTTACCACAATGGCAATTATAAGTTGTTATATTTCTAAAACACAACTTATAATATGCTATTATTATTGTTATTCCTTGAACATGCCACCATAATACTGCCTGAATTGCATATTATAACCTACCAGTAAGTGCTAAAACTTCTCAGTATACTTACCACAAGCAAGTCTGCCAATATGGCAAATTGATACTGCCTAATTGATCATGAAAGCTTGTCATAAACCGCCATTCATTCAGCCCAATTTGGTACTTGGCCCCTTCTCTACCACCTTACCCCAATGCACAGCAATATCTTTTGCTTTTCCCTCTGGTAACATAGTAATCCTCTTAGTCCTGGAATGCTGACTGGTAATGATGTCTGTGTTTTATTATTATTATTATTATTATTAATATTATGATTGTTACTTAAACTAGGCTCAGGCAAAGAAAAAGTGGCTGCACAAAGAGAGGGTGACACTGACTGTTATTAGTTTGGAAGGTATCAGGATAGAAGATGAGACTTCTCAAGTAAGTGTGCAAATAAGTCAAATATTATTTAACCACCTTGTGATCACCATAGACACAGTGACATATAAGCTGCACCCATGGGTGTGCAACTTAAATTTTGGTAAAGGGAGTTTTTTTTTTCAAAATTGGGAAATTTAAATGCCAAGTAAAACTATGCCGTATATTTCTATCTCTACATCTTATCCAATATATTTTTTTTGATTAATATCAGTATCTGGGCAACTGCCCACCTACCCCTCCCCTAACCCAACATTAACCTGAACTTGTTATCAATTGACTGTTGTTGAGTTAGGGGAGGGGTAGGTGGGCAGTTGCCCAGATACTGATATTGATCCATTTTTTTTTTATCAAAAAAAAAAAAGGAATAAGTTAACTCTTAAATCTCATCAAAATACTGCTTTCACTTTTCCCATCTAATCGCTAAAGAAAATTTTCAAGGGGCAGTATATGGTTTCAAATGTTTTGTTACATGTTACAGTACATTTTCTTTATCAATTTACCCGTTGAAATATCTATTTATTTACTTATTTATTCATTTATTCACTCAAGTCAAAAATAGCTGGAGAGTACTGAACAAAGGAAGGGCTAAACAAAAGAAGGGAAAGATTCAATGAAATCTCCAGGTGCCCTTTCCATCTCAGTGCTTTTTGAGTTTTTTATAGGTTTTACTGATTTTTTTTTTGTTTTAGAAAGTGAAGCATATGCATCCTGTCAAGAGAATAACATTTGTCATTCCTGACCCAGATGATAGAAAAATATTTGGTTATGTTTTCAGTCAACCTGATTGTTCCACTGGACATAAATTTTATGCCCTGAAGTCAAAAAATGTAAGAGGGACTAAAAAAAATTGTTTGCTTTGTTAAATGAAATACAAAAAATGCATTGGCTAGTTGTAGGAGACGTGATGCATGGTCTTGGTTTGAGACATGTTTTGTTCACTGTGTTGTGTTACTATTGGGATCTGATGTCTCACACTCGCAATGTCTCTCTCTGCTGAGGAACATATGGAGGTATATCAAAACTGCTAAAGAATTAACTTAGCATTAATCCTCACCCTGGCTGAATTAACATTTAACCAAGGTAAAGATGCATACAGTGCCCCTGGTTATGTCATATGCTCATGAAAGTGGAATGAGCATCTGGATCAAGCTCCAGAAGCAAGGGCTATGGGCTTGACAGTAGACTAATCTTATAACCAGTAACTAATAGTTGGTTTCAGTTATACATATGTCATCACACTTTATAAGGAAAAGGTATACAAGTCTACTGTCTACTGTTCAAAGAGATACACAAGGGAATGTATTTCATATCAAATTATGACAATACAAATGGAGATACAAATTAATTCTGAGTCATCTAAAAATAAAACTGATGTCCTTTTCCTACATTCTCTTTTCTGTATGACATTT